CCCCTGTCCAGCTCTGATCCAGGCCAGCAAGGCAGAGTGATCTTAGGGTCTGAACCACCCATCTCTGCTGCCCAGCTTGGGGGCAGGAGAGCCCCACATCTTGTAGTCTGGGAGAGACTGAGTCCTGCATTGCCTCCCTTGAAACACTTTCTCTCACAGCTAAAGGATGAAGCCTTTGAAGAGACAGAGAAGAACTTCCGGATGCAGGAGCGTCTGATCAAGTCCTTCATCCGGGACCTTTCCCTCTACCTGCAGCATGTCCGGGTGAGCCACTCTGGGTGTGATGCCAGGCCTGTGGGGCTCACCATGCACTGCCCCTCCTGTCTGCATGGTGTGTGCCTGCAGTGCCTCTGGCCATGGCTCCTGCCTCAGCTCTGCTGGGGCTGGGTGGTCTGGGCTGCCCTGGGAGCCCCATGGGCAGCAAGCATGGCTCAGCTGTGTCTCTCTGGTGCAGGAGTCAGCTTGTATGAAGGCACTGGCAGCAGGGAGCATGTGGGACCTGTGCACAGAGAAGGGAAGTGGGGACTTGGACCAGTTCCAGAAAGTGAATCGTCTCATCAGTGACCAGCTCTTCTCCAGCTTTGTGAGTGTGGCTTGTGCCTCTTTGAGGCCCTCCCTGGGGGTCTGCTGCAGATGGGCAGGCTCTGGGAGGCTGCAGGGATGGTAACCTGGGAGAGCTGTGAGCATTCCTCTTTAGCTGTGCCCTCCTGAGAGCTTTGATGCCTGGCAGTTTATGACTGTGCCTGTTAGATACACATTTTTTCAGCCCTACCTGAAATGCTACAGCTCTTTATGTGAGTGGTTCAGGTACTTTGCATAGAGTTACCCATGCTGGCACAATTATGTAAGATTGTTGTTGGAAGGGACCTCTGGAGCTCCAGTGGCTGCCACCAGGAGACAGTCACTGTATTGTCCTGGGGGGGCTGTGTGCTGGAGAGTGAGCTGCTGGGGCTCACAGTGGGAGAGAGCACCCTGTCTCACCATCTCCCTGCACCTGTGCCCACCAGAAAGAGCGGACGGAGCGGCTGGTGAGCTCGCCCCTGAGCCAGCTGCTCAGCATGTTTGCGGGGCCCCACAAGCTGGTGCAGAAGCGCTTCGACAAACTGCTCGACTTCCACAACTGCTCCGAGCGAGCGGAGAAGCTGAAGGACAAGCGGACGCTGGAGGAGCTGCAGTCAGCCCGCAACAACTACGAGGCCCTCAATGCACAGCTGCTGGACGAGCTGCCCCAGTTCCTGCGCTTCGCCAAGGAGCTCTTTGCCAGCTGCGTGCGCGGCTACGCCGAGGCACACTGCGACTTCGTGCGCCTGGCCCTGGAGGAGCTCACACCCCTGCTGTCGGTGAGTTCACTCACTGGGACCTGTCACATCGTGGGGGAAGCTGCTACTGCAGTTTCAGGACACTAGTGACTTGTGGAGAGGTCCTGTGGGATGGTGTTGGAGCTAGGATTGCAGGGTTATGTTGCAGTTGTGTGTAGAAGGCTCTTGGAGCAGTGGCAGGACAGCATTCACCTGTGAGAATCTCGGGTCACAAGTTTGAGGACCACTTAGAGCTGAGTCCAGACAGGACTGCAGACCTGGGCTTGATGCAAGTCACAGGCAGAACTCAGAGCCCTGCCATGGTCTATGCTTGGTCACTTCTTCCTGCACCTGTCACCTAACCAGGATCCCGACTTTGCTCTGGTTCCAGCTACTGAAGGTGTCTGGCAGGGAAGGGAACCTCATTGCCATCTTCCAGGATGAGCACAGTCGAGTCCTCCAGCAGCTCCAGGCCTTCACCTTCTTCCCAGAGTCCCAGGCAGCTCCCAAGAAGACTTTTGAAAGGAAAAGCATGGAGCGGCAGTCTGCCCGGCGGCAGCCCCTCGGTGGCCTGGTGAGTTCCCTCTGCCCGGTGCCAGGGCCTGCAGAGCCCAGCACAGCCACTCACACCTGCCTTGTTCCTCTGCAGCCAACCCACTTCCTGCAGTCGGATGACATCCGCGCTGCCCTCCTGGCCCGCTATCCCCCGGAGAGTCTCTTCCAGGCAGAGCGCAATTTCAATGCTGCCCAGGACCTGGATGTCTCCCTGTTGGAAGGAGACATTGTGGGTGTCATCAAGAAGAAGGACCCCATGGGCAGCCAGAATCGCTGGCTCATAGACAATGGGGGTAGGTGGCTGTTCCCTGCCCTTGCTGTGAGTCTCCTCCTCTGGTCTCCCTGTGCCCCAGTCTGAGCTCCCTTCCTGTCCCTCTCTGCAGTGACCAAAGGCTTTGTGTACAGCTCCTTTCTGAAGCCCTACAACCCCCGCCGCAGCCAGTCGGACGTCTCTGTGGGCAGCCACTCTTCCAACGAGTCGGAGCTCAGCAGCTCCTCTCCCCAAAGCAACGCCACCCTGACCTTCAGCCCCAGTGGGGCGGCCGTCACCTTCACTCAGAAACCCCTGCAGGACTCTGTCTCCCCAGCAGAGTCCCCACTGGAGGTGGATTTCCCCTGTGTGCCCCAGCTTGGCTCTGGTGACAGGACGGCCCCCCTGGCTGGCACTGTGACATCCCAGCGCCGCTGCAGCCGCCCCGAGCAGGGCTGCAGCCCCAGCACTCGCAACGGGCACCCCACCAAAGCACGTCTCAGGCCCACGCCCTCCGTGGAGGACAGAGACTCAGGGCTGGAGAACAGCGAGTCAGAGGGCAACCAGGTGAGTCTTCAGCCACCCACGTGGGGCTGGGGATGCCAAGGGCTAACTGCTTTGATTGGCTGGGGACAGAATCATCCTCCTCCCTGGCAGTGACCATGATATGTAGGAGGTGGGGTATGAGACCTTTTCTTCCAACAGCAGAGAACAAGGCTTCAGATGGGGGTGGGCAGAGGCCAGGATGGGGCCAGGGCTGTCACTGGGGAGAAGGACAAAAGCCCACACATCCTATGCAGTGTGAGATTAAGGCTGTGTGGTGTGACCATCTAACTGATGCTCTCCCTTTGTCTGGCAGGTCTACTACGCTCTCTACACCTTCAAAGGCCGAAACACCAATGAGCTGAGCGTGTCAGCTAACCAGAGACTCAGGATCCTGCAGTTTGAGGACATCACAGGCAATCAAGAGTGGTGGCTGGCTGAGGCCCACGGCAAGCAGGGCTACGTGCCCTCAAGTTACATCCGGAAGACGGAGTACACGTGAATCTGCAGACAGAGCCTGCACCCCGTGCCTTGTTCCTGCTGGGACTGCTAGGGTCTGGGGGAGGCTGGCCAGCCCTGCAGCCCCCACTGCTCACCCTTAAGGCTATGCCTCTCACAGCTGTGCAGTGCTCCTGGGCCCCAAACACTGGCTGCCATCGTCCCTTTAGGAGACAGAGAAGGGTGGACTGGCCAGGTAGGCAGGAGCAGGCAGCTTGTGTGAGGGCAGGGGTGAGTTCACCTCTTAGGTGTGTTTGAGCCTCCTGTGTCCAGCCAGGAGCAGGGGAACAAAGCTTGGGGCTGTCACTTGCCCAGAAGAGTAAGGCTTGACTCAGGATGAGGAGCTGCTGTGGATTTAAATTGTGGAAGGCTAATGCTGAGTTTCTGGAGATTGTCTTTAGTCAAGTAGTATTAAAAGCAACCCAGACTTTATGAATATGCTCCCTGTGCAGCAGGAGCCTGGTCTTGCCTGTCTCTGCAGGTCTTGAGGTGGGACATTTACACACTGCTTGGGAAAGCAGCTCTGAGGTTTGCTGGGAGTAGTTGAGCCCTAGGCCTGGGATGGATATGGCCTCTGAAACCCTCACAACAAACCCCCCAGCAGGTGCCTTCTCCCTGTGCTTAGTCTCCCAGGAGCTTGACCTTTCCAAGGTCTGCTGCTGCCAGCAACCATCAGGTTCCCATCTTTCAGCTGAGCCAGAAGCCCAGAACACCATACCCTGTCAGCACGGTATTGGCTGTGCCCAGGACCCATCTTTGCACTGACATGCCCACCTGGCCACTCTGGGCTGGAGCAGGGGAGAAGGCAAAGCACAAGCTGTCCTCCAGCCTGTTTTTTGGGGTCTGACCATAATTGCCTCACCTGTGCTTTCCTGCACAGCATTGGAGAGGGTGCTGACATTCTGGAGCAGCAGGAGCATCATCCCTGGGAGGGCTGTGGTGCCTTTTGCTGGGTTGGTGTGTGATAAGGCTGCTGCCATGACCTGAAGGGAAGAGGTTCCCTTCATGGGGCAGTGTTTGTATCCTCTGTACTACTGCTCTGCAAATAAAGATTTGCCTTTGTGTATAGAAAGTGCCTTTGCAAGTGTTGGGAGACCTGGGAGGAGCATCTGACAGGTGCTGCAGCCTTCATGCAGACCCTGCAGGGCCAGGAACAACATTTCTGTTGTGGTGGGATCCAGCATTCTAGTGTCTTGGTCTTTGTGCCAGCTGCAGCTCAGGCATGAGGAAACACTCACAGAAACCTTCTTTATTGAGATGAAGTGGTTGCACTGCCCTCTTCCCTCAGCTGTGTGTTACTTGACTCTGGGGCTCCAGGGCAGTAGGGGCTAGTGGGGTGAATGTTTGCCCTGCTCTAAGTGGGCACCTGCTCCCTGCCTGAGGAGATCTGGCCCAAGAACAAAGAGTCAAGGGTCTGTCAGCAATAACCACCATACTCTGTGTGTGCATGGCTGTACACAGACATGTGCCTGCTGCTCTCCAGCTTGTCTCCACCACCATCATGTTTGCAGTCTGGAACCACAGCCCAAAATCTGCCCCACAAGTGGTTGTGATAACCTCAGGGAGAGGCTCATTTATTTGCAATACAATCAAAGGGAGCAGTAGCCACAGGGAAGGCAGGCAGCCCTGGTTTTGCTACAGAGCAGTGTTCTGCATGAGTAGAGCTGTGCCTCTCGATTTGGGCTGCCCAGCTCTGTGTAACCTCTGTTGGCAGCTCTTTCCACCCAAGCACTAGCCAGGTTTGAAGCCATACTGAGGCTTACTTATATTCCTTGACATCAGCCTTGTAGTTGGAAGACTACAAATAGTTACAAAAAGTAAATAAATTATAACATTTATAACATTATATTCTTTGATTAAACTGTAAATTTCATTCCATAATGCTAAAGCATCTCTAAGGTAGATTCACCTGGCATGGTGAAGTACAAAAACTAAGACCACCCCCACTGGAGGTCATGATCTCCCTGCCTGGCAGACAGCTTTTCCCCTCTACCCTGGAATAAATTATACAGCTCCAGACCCTTGTGTGCACACAGGCAGGATGTGGTAGTAAGGTTAACAGCTCCCTCAAGTCCAGATGCTGAGTCTCTGGACAAGCAGAGAAGCCCTCTTTGCTTCCCTGCTGCAGAGAGGCCAATTCCTGGCAGCTTGGCTGTGGGTGAGCGGCAGCAGGAGGAGCTGTCTCACAGGCGGCCCCTGCAGCTCTCTGCCTACAGAGCCGTGGTGTCTGCAGCAGTGATGCCGGCGTCCTTTGCCATCGCAGAGAAGATGCCCTCCTTCAGGAGCAGCTTCTCAGGGCTGTCGAATTCCACAATCTGCCCAGCATGCAGCACCATCACCCTGGCAGAAGAGAACAAGGCCTCAGCTCACAGGATCCTGGGATAGCGCTGCTGGTGCCAGCGCTGCGGCCCACCAGCCCTCACTCCTCCTGAGCCACTTATGTGGTTCTCCTCTCAGCAGTGAGAGGGCACAGCCCTCCTGCCTGTGTTACCGGTCACATACACAAGGTGTCAAGAGCAAATGCTTCTGTGGTTGTTGCTGTAAAGAAGGATCCCAAAAAATGTTTCTCCCGCAAAGGCAGCACTTCTGCATGGGCATCCTTACTGTCCTTCTGTTCTCTTCACCACTGCATATTACTGCCCCAGGTTCTGCATCCGCCCCTTCCCCTGTGGCTGCATTCTCACTTCCTCTGCTGTCCACCTTTTGCCCCATCCCAGGAGTCCAGATGCCCATTCCCTTTGCCCTGCAGCATGGTCCCATGGTACCTGTTGCTGTCCATGATAGTGTGGAGGCGATGGGCGATAGTAAGGACAGTGCAGTCAGCAAACGCACTCCGGATTGTTGTCTGGATTAAATGATCCGTTTCCAGATCTACGGCTGCTGTTGCTTCATCCAGGATGAGGATCTTGGCTTTGCGGAGAAGGGCCCGGGCCAGGCACACCAGCTGCCTCTGCCCAACACTGGGAGGAGATGTAGAGCATGAGTTACTAGACAGACACTAGGGGATGTTCTGCAAGCCTACTGCATCTCACTGCTCTGACCCCAACACTGTCCCTGGCCTTTCCCCACTGACCATCTGCCACTCTCAGCACCACGTCCCTCAGCATGTTACTCTCTGGGCTACCACAGAAGGCTGGCTCACACTAGCTCCCTAAGAGCCCTGGCTCCTCCACCATTTTCTTCCATCTTCACTTCCCAGAAGCTTCTGTGCACCACCCCTGGACAGCCACTTTGCTGGAGGCTGCTGTTCCAGGCTGGTCTCTGGGATCTAGAGAAGGGAGGGGAGCTGGGCCTGCATCTGCTCCTCTGCTCACCTCAAGTTCTCCCCTGCCTCGCTCACGTGATGCAGCAGCCTCTCGGGAAGGCCTTGCACATATGTCTTCAGGTGAGCCAGCTCCAGGGCCTTCCAGACCTCCTCGTCTGAGTACTGGTCAAAGGGGTCCAGGTTCATCCGCAGGGTTCCAGTGAAGAGCACAGGGTCCTGCCAGGGACAGCACCACATTCAGCCCCACCACAGCCATTTAGCAGGGGCAGTGGCTCCTGGCCTCCAAGTGTGGCCGCATCCTGCTCACAGCACTGCCTGCAGCTGGCAAGGGATGTGGTGACAGCCTGCTCACAGGCCTTTGGCACGTCCACAGCTCCCAGGAACACACTGAGGCCATGTGGTGCCTGCAGGGGCCACACAGCAGTGGGATGTGGAAGGGTGGGGGTCAGCTCACCTGGGGGATGATGGTGAGGTTGTTGCGCAGGTCGTGGAGGCCAATTGTTGCTATGTCCACGTCGTCAATGATGATCTTCCCTCCAGCCGCCTCCAGCACCCGGAACAGGCAGTTGGTGAGGGAGGATTTTCCAGCCCCGGTCCGGCCCACAACCCCAACCTATGGAAGCAGCTTATTAGACCAGATGACAGGGCTGTATAAAACAGGGCAGTTACTCTCCATCTTGGTCTGGTGGGCCTTCCTGCCCTTACCATCACCCAGACTGTCTGCTTTAGTTCCTTTCCAGGAGCTCAAGTCCCCAGGAGCCACATCCCATCACCATCCCACCCCAGCGCACAGACTGAAGCCAAGAAGAAGAAACAACTTTAACAGAGTCTTTGTAAATAGCATAGTGAGGGCAGAGGCACCTTCTCAGTGCTCCCAATGTTACAGGTGATCCCCTGAAGAACCAGGTCCAGTTCAGGTCGGTAGCGAACTTTGTAGTCAATGAACTGGATCTCGCCTCTGCTGGGCCAGCCACGTGGTGGACGCGTTTTTGTCACCCATGGAGCCTGGGGGAGGACACAGAAGCATTATGGGGTTCACTCTGCAATGCTGACTAGCACCAAGCTGTGCAGCAGGTGTTTGCCCAGACCCTGGGTGCCTCACCTCATTCTTCACGGTCACATACTCATGGACCCGCTCCACAGCCACGATGTTGGTCTCCAGCTCCGAAGATGTCCTCACCAGCCAGTTCAGTGTCTGGGTCACCTGCATGGCAGAATCAGAGGGTGAAGAGCTCAGTGGCACCCAGGAAAAACCACCTCCCACCTCAGCCCAGGGAATCATCCTGGGCACAAGCACACCTGGCCTGGCCCCTAATGTTCCACTGCTGAGACACAGCCCCCCTCTCCGCAGCCCCTCAAAAACTTTGCTGCAGCACCTCTGATCCACAGCAGGGCCATTTTCCTCCTCATGGCAGCAAGTATCCCACTCAGACTGGGATGAATATGTGCTTCCCTGGCTCTATAGCCACTCCCCAGGTGATGGGACACCCAGATAATCCCTTTTCCAAGGATCAGAGCTGGTGGCAGGGCAGCATCCTGCCAACAGCCCAGAGCTCCCAGAGGCAGCCCTGTCCCAGAAGGAGAAAATGCTTTCAGTGACTCACATTGAGAGCAGAGGAGACAGAAAGACCCACGATGCCGCCCTCCAGAGTGCCCTTTGCAATCACTGCCAGGAGTGCAGAGAAGAAAACCACCAGGCTCCCAACAAACTCCAGACGGATGGCCAGCCACCTGCACCAGGAGAGCACAGCTGAAGGGCAGGGAGAGAGGCAGGAAGGTGCCCAACACACAGCCCACCAGTAACAGCACACTGCACCAGCATCCCCCACAGCCAGCCACGAGCCCAGTGCTGTGCACAGTGCACACATTGGTGCATGTACACAGCAGGTCACCTGTGGCCAATTCTGCAAGCAGGTTCATTTGTATCAGTCCATGTCTCACACATAACCTCCTGTGCTGGTAATGCCATGTATCAGAAGAGCCTCAAACATTCAACCCTCAAACACCCAAATAATTTACCAATAAGATTTCAAAACCACTAAGTGCCTACATTGCACTCCTGCTGGGCCTGGAGGATCACCCTCTTCCCAGAACTTACCATGAGCATCTCAGCCCTTGACTGCACAGCTCACCCTGCCAGCCTCTGGACACTTTGTAGGGGAGAATACTTTGGCTTTCAAAATCACCCTAAAATGTCCCATTGCCACAGATGGTGCCCCTATCCTAAACTGCCCCAGTACCTACACAGAACCTCAATGCTGAGATCAAGAAAGAGGACTGCAGGATCCCAGGGATCTCTCTCAGGACCCAGAAGCCCCAGGCAGAAGTGCTGCTAGCTGTGCTGTGGCATAAGTGGTAAAACTCACCTATTTGATATTATCCAGGAATAAACACTTTTCTGATTTATGTCCATGGTGATTTCATTTTTCTTCAGGAACCGTTCTTGGTGTCCATAGGCCCGGATCACAGAAAGGCCTGACACAGTCTCACCAAAGTGAGAGTAGATGGGAGACCTGGTGACAGAGTCCAGACGCCTCAGCTGGCGAGACGTCGCCACGTAGAAGCGCTGAAACGAGCGACACAGGCTGGTTACCAACACGAAGCCCAGCAGCCACCAAGATACTGCTCTCAGCAGGGCAGAAGCGTCACTCAGGGCCCAGTTACTCACCAGCACAAAATAGTAGAAGATGCTCAAGGGAATGATAACAACAGCAAAGAACGGAGTGGCCAGGCAGATCACAATCAGTGTGCTAATGATGGCCATGAAACAGGAGATCCAGGTGCGGAAGGACGTGGGAATGGTCTCATCCACTGTGAAGATGTCCTGGAGCATATAGAAAAGTATAGAGAAGCAGTCAGTGACCCCAGAGAGAAGGAGAAGCCCAAAGGCCCCATACACGCAGAGTTCCTACACACTCCTGTGATAACACAGTGCCAGACACTTGTAAAAATATCAGATCATCCTGAATTGGTGTTATGGTCACAACTTCATTTAGGGCCACAGCTCTTAGCTTGTGAAAAGCTGAGTTTACAGAGAAACTTGTAGGTACACAGTTTGTGGTAATTGGGAGTGGAGCTGCAGCTGAGCCTCATCCCCAATGGGCTACAGCTGTGAAAAACAGGTGAACAGCATTGAAGGTAATGAGACATGGAGTGCCAAAGTGCACTGACCAATCACAAAAGGGTAAAGAGCACACTCAGGTGTAATACATGTAAGATGAAGAGTATAAAAGGTTGGGCTGAAAAGCAAGAAGAGCAGATGCTTGCAGCCTTTTGTAGTGAAGTTACACTGTATGGGCAGACACCTGAAGCCTTCTGATGTGGTATGGTGTCACTCAGGGCAAATGCTTAAAGCTTTCTGAAATTGTATGGTGATTCTTTGTGTATCGTGGCCCTCTCAACTGAGACATATGCTGTGACAGAAACTTCCTATAATATTCCCCTGTTACACAGACCAGCTTTAAGAACTGCATCTTCATCAGGACCTAGGATACAGGAGCAGTAATTGAAGCAAAAAGAGGGACAGGGCAAACTCCAGATCCATGCAGGTGCACCCAGGTCTCCAGCTGGTCCTCATCCATCTCCTAGCCAGGCACCACATACTCTCTCAACTCAGAGTAAACCCAGACCCATAGACTTAATTTTAAGAAGAAATTTAATTCTCAAAAATCAAGAGATGGTACCAAAGGAAGAAGTGGAGAAGCAGCACACTTGAAATTACCTGTTTGTATTTTCCCTCCTTTCTCTTTTTCTCTTTGTTTTTGACCTTCACTTAGATAGAAAAGATTGTAGATTTTGCTGGAAGTCTATCAACAGAAGGACTTCTTATTTTGGGACATGAGCTCTAGGCTCTTACCTCTCTTAGTCATCTACTATGGACCCTCTTCTGTTTCTCCACATCCTTCTTGCCCAGGTGACTCCAAACAGGACACAGTATCTAGGTGTAAGCTCCTCAGCACTGAGCAGAGGAGCTAACAAATTCCTGTGATTTGTCACACTGTCTTTCTAATAGAGCCCAGGATGTGGTTTGGCTCACGGTCAGCCTTGCATCCCCATGTCCTCCTGGTCCCTTCCTGGCCTTTACCTGAGCTCAGCTGTGCAGTGCTCAAGAGGAGCAGGGTTATGCCACTAGCCAGCACTCTGCAGATGTGGTGGAACAAACCTTGTGTGTGTTGGGGCTGCTCTCTTACCTTGGCAAAGCGGTTGATGATGCGGCCCACCGGGGTGGTGTCGAAGAAGCTCATGGGCGCGCGCAGGATGTTGCTGAGCAGCAGCTGGTGCATGACACGGGAGGCTCCCATGGCACCCCGGGCAGACAGCATGGTTGCAAAGAGCAGGAAGACACCTGCAAGGAGAGTACAGGGCTGTCACCAGCTCCTGGGTGACACTGGCTGCAGGTACCCTTTGGCTTGATGGACACACCAAGCAGCGCCAAGGCAGCAGCTCTGCAGCGAGCCGCTGGGATAATCCTGCATCCCACCCCCTTGGGAGGCCCCAGCAACTGTGTCCCAGCACAGGGGAGGAACACTAACCCTATTGGAAAGCCTTGGGCCCTAGCACTATGTCTAATCTGATTAAGGAAAATTATCTTAAACTGAGGGGGCAACACCGACTTGGGACAATTTCTGCTGCTTTCAGACTGGCGTGTGTCCACAATCCAGCCAGGAGCTGGAAGGAAGGCAGCAGCAGGCAAATGAGGAAAATGCCAGGTCCCCTGCTCTTTACTGCGCTGCTGGGTGCAGGCCTTGCAAGTCATATCCCTGCTGGACCACACAGAGGAGGTGAGTGGGACCTGCTGTCCCCCCACACTGACCTTGTGAGATGCCCAGTGCCCCAAAGACGCCGATGCGCAGGTCCCGCAGCTGCGTGGGGTAGCTCTGGTTCTGGTAGCGCACCGAGTCGTCCGTCCAGTCACTGAGCCACAGGTTGCTGCCCACGTAGGCCACGTATTCTCCAATGTAGCCCATGACGATCCAGAAGGTAAAGCACCAGCCAACAGCACGCAGGTACCGCACATACATGGAGAACTTCACCTGTGGAACAACTGAGCCCATCAGACTGCAGGCAATGCCAGCCAGCACAGCCTTGGGGCTCCACCTTGCTGCCCACCATGCTCCCCTCCACCACCCCACCCACCAGTCCCAGGCAGCTCTGTCTCCTTCGTGTCTCTTGGCTGTGGAAGCCCACACCAGCTTCTCTGAGCCACAGTCAGGGTCTGGCAGCACTTAGGGCAGCACAGTGCTTCATCCCTCCATCCTCCTCACCCTGCCGGTTTCCACAGCTTCTTTCTCGATCAGTTGCTGTCCCTTCAGCTTCTTTGGGGGCTCCTCTTGGGCCTTTTTCTGGGAACTGGTGCTCCTTTTACTAAGGCTGCAGGAAGGTGTTGAGTACCATTAGTCACAGGGTGTTGAATTGGTCCTAATCTCCTGGGGGTCCACCCCTGGGTCTTCAGTGGTGGAGTCCAATAATATCCTAACTGGGGCAGCTTTGAGTGAGCCTTGTGGAAGCACTAGGCATGTGCAGCCATAAAATTAAAAGCCACATTCCCAAAGGCAGAACTAGCCATCAGCACGAGTTTCAGGGAAGACTGCAGAGTAAGGCTGTGGCACACTAGTGTGAGTAAAGGCAGAATCAGATGCTCCTAACCCAGAGCAGCTTGTGGTAGGAGCAGGCAGGGAGGCTCCCAGCTGGAACTCCCTGGGAAGCCCCCAGATCCCTGTCTCTGAGGGAGCAGTGCTTGTGGCAGGGAAAGAGCTGAGAGCTCAGGTCATGGCCCACCTGCGACTCAGTTTTCTCCGATGGATGCTGGCCTCTCGCTTCAGGGTCATTGTCACCACATCTTCAGTGCTCTCCTCCATGCAAGGATCCACAGCTTCATCAGCCTGCTCTTCATCCCCAGCTAAAGCAACAGCTACAGGCACAGGGATGAGGGAAGGTAGGGTCAGGCACTGAGGACAGAGCAGATCCCATACACCACACCTCTGCTCTGTGCCATACCCCAGGCCTAGGCTGTGTCCTACCACCACGTATCACACCTTCTCCAACCTTGCTGCAAGACCAGCGCAGCAGGAGGAGGAAGAAATGCATGGTGCTGGAGAGAGAACTGATAGGGGACACAGGGCTAAAGGCCTGCTCAGAGGCCATCCCTCCTGCTGACTCCTCCCAGCACCACTGGCCAGACCTCAAGCAGAGATCTGTGCTACTTTAGTAGTGCAAGATCTGGTAGTTCATGTCACTCCAGCCCAGAAGCATCTCCTTGAGCAGGTGGAGGTGGGCCCTCTGAAGACATGCTGGGAATAGCCAGGCTGCAGCAGGACAACTGAGCTGAGCTCTGACGGGGTAAGCACCCACCTGACCTCACACCACTCCTCCCCATAGCATTGGGGGATATGATAAAGATGAAATATTATCCAGTCAGAGAACAAACCAAAGAGTCTTTCTGACCCCAGCATCACAAAAATATGAAGCCAGTTGCCACATAAGATTTCGGGACCCATAATAAATGAACTAAAAGGGAGTAAAAAAGTTAAACAGGTCCTGTGCTGGATGTTCAACATGATGCCTGAGTGCAAGTCTTAGTTAGAAGTTATTTAGCTGCTGATTGCCTGAAGCTGAGAAGGATTCACAGCAGCCACCATTGGTGCCTGGGCTGGATAGGGCCAGGTTGGGCTGACACATCAGACCTTCATATCCCCAAGATACGCCCACAGCCACTCTAACTGCCACTGCCCCACCGTGTTCCCAGTACCTGCAGTGTTTTCCTCTGAAACATTCTCCTCCTGATTTCCATACAAGTTCAGGAACTGGGAAAAGGCCCCCTTGTTTGCAAGCAGGGTGCTGTAGGAGCCATGCTCAGACACTGCTCCTGCTGCCAGCACCACAACGTTATCGACCTGGGGCAGGAAACTGATACTGTGCGTCACCAAGATCCGTGTCTGCAACAAAGGGGTGCAGGGTAGTGAGTGATCATAGAGCACCCCTCATCCCCAGCCATGGCTCTGCAGGCTCTCCATCTCCCACTCAGGGACTTGTCTGCTGAGCAATGCCTGGCTGTGAGGACACAGTGTACCCCTCTGGGGACTCTTGAGGCCTCTCCTGCCTGCTGCAGCCCACTGTGAAGGCTGCATAATTCCCCTCTGTCCCAGGCAAGCAACCTCAGACTTCCTCGGATGTCCAACACCACACCAGTGCCACTCCTGCCTGGCTGGGGGGTGGGTTGCAGGGTGTGGGTGCTCACCTTCTTTTGCAGCAGCCCTTTTGGTCCCAGCACGTGCTCGAAGAGGTACTTGCCCACGTGGGCATCCACGGCCGAGAGCGGGTCGTCCAGGATGTAGATGTCGGCGTCGCTGTACACCGCCCGCGCCAGGCTCACCCGCTGCTTCTGGCCCCCGCTCAGGTTGATTCCCTGCGGGGAAGGGAAGGGAAGGAGCTCCCTGCACATGGGGCTGCCACAGGGCAATGCTCTGACCGCTGCTGCAGGCGCTATCGGAAACCCGTAGGGCCCAGGGCTGATACCTTCTCTCCAATCTCTGTCTGGTCACCTGCAGGCAGCAATTCCAGGTCTGGAAGGAGGGCGCAGGCCTTGAGGACCTGCTGATACCTGGCTTCATCCACTTCTGACCCAAAAATGATGTTGTCTTTCAGTGTGGCATTCTGGATCCAGGCCTGCTGGGGAACATAGGCCAGGGAGCCCTGGAAGGAGAGACAAGAACAGCTACCTGTCAGAGATCAGCCTGAGCACTGACACCTCACCACTCTGGGACAGTCCTGCTCTACTTCCCTGCTGAGCTCCCAGGCAGCCCCAAAGCCCTGTGGACCAGCTGGCCCCTCTCACCTGGATGTTGATGTGTCCCTTGATATTCTCCATCTCCCCAAGCATGGCTGACACCAGGGAAGATTTGCCTGAGCCCACAGGCCCCACCACAGCCACCAGGCTGCCAGGCGTGATGTCCAGGGTGACACTGCAAAGACACGAGGGCTGAGGAAGCAGCACTGCCAGGCTACCTATCAGTTCCTGGGTGGGACAGGGCAGTGTCTCTGGGACACTCATGCCTAGCAGCACTGAGAGGTGGTTGCCCTCCCCAGCTAATAACACAGAAAGCCTCCCCTGCACATCCCCCTGTCCCCTGATGCAGCACTCACTCTCTTATGGCAGCGTCGCCGTCCTGCTCCCAGGCAAAGGTGGCCTCTGAGAAACGCACAGCACTGCCTGCCAGAGAGAGATGTCCCTCAGAGAGGGGAAAGCCCAGGGCTGGGCCAGCCTGAGGCCCACAGGGAGCAGTCTGGACGTTCACCTGCCTGCAATGGGGTTGTGGTGGATAGCTGAGGTGTCCAGGTCCTCTCCACTGAGGTATCGCTCCAGCCTCGCAGTCGACACGTTGGTCTGCCATGGCAGAAAGAGGATGAGGATGGCACACGGGCATGGGTGGGCTGGCAGGAGCCCCATAGGCAGAGCATCACATCACAGTCCCCAGCCAACCTCTGGACCCCAAACCTTTGTTATACATGTGAGTCCTACCCCAGTGCCAGCAGAGTCCTGTGCACTGACCCCTGGGGGTCCATCACACACCCGAGCCCCATCTGCTGCTTTGGACAGAGGTCATGGGATCCCCCTGCACCCCCTGCCCCAGGTGAGGCCTGACCTGCACCAGGGTAGAGATGACCATGGGCAGTGTGGCCATGGGGAAGCGCAGCACATTGAAAAGGGAGATGGCAGTGAAGGCCTTCTGTGCATCCAAGATGTTGTTCTCATCCACAAGCACATAGACAGCAAAGCTTGCCAGGGAGACCTAGGACAGATATAAGAGAAAGCCACCATCAGTGTTTGTGTGCAGCCCAGACCCGCAAACTACCCCAAGGCCTCAGCAGTGCCTTTGTGCTGGGGACCTGTTCCCCTCCTGCTCCTGTTCTCCCTTGGGCCCCATGTCACCACCCCGATGGGACCCCTTTCCACCACAGCTCTCCTGCCAGCAACCAGAACCATAATCTATATCCACCAGCCAGCCCCTTCCTCGCTGCAGAAACACTCCAGCTGAGGCCCCAGATATTTCCCAGCCCCTTGGCCACAGCCCAGCCCCAGCTCAGAGGAAGGACACCCTCCCCAGGGCTGTTGTCACTCACTCACCAGGGTAGGAGCACATGTGAAGACAAAGACAGAGACTGACTGCAGGTAACCAAAGTTCACCAAGTTCTTGAGCTCCTGAGCCCGGATGTCATTAACTCGCTTCTCAAAGGAGGGCTCCCAGGCAAAAAGCTTCAGGATCTGCAGGGGGAGCAGGTGCTGGTGTCACAGGAATGCCCACCTCCACACTCAGCTCACTGGTGGCCAGTACCTCCATCACCTGGCTTGCTCAGTAGCCTACTGGCCACTGCATCTCCCCTCTGCTGTCCTGCTGACAGCATTTCCCCACTGCACTCCCACTCCCTCACTGACAGCTCCTCTGACACCATGCCACTACCACAGCCATCCAGAAAACCCTCTCTTGGCTCCCAAGTCTTAGTCCAAGTATCCAGAGCCCCTCCCTAGCCAACTTTTCAAAAGATGAGGCAGCTGAGGGAATTGCTGAGACCCAGACAGGGCCCCCAAGCTAGACTAACACTGGTGCTGTAGGGTTATAGAGGTGTGCTGTCTCCAGGTGCAGTGCGCCAAGAAGAGGGGTGCAGTAGCTGCCAGAGAGTCTCCACTCCACTGCCCACCTTGATTCCATTGAGGATTTCAGTCATTATTTTCATGCGTTCATCCTTGTTCTTCATGTTCCTCACCTACAAACAGAAGAGCCAGACATCACCTGAAGCAGACAGCAGCACATCGTTGGAAATCCATCTGGGCTGCCACAGGGAAGGGAAGGATGGGCTCCACAGCCCAGAGGAGTCATCCCATGAAGCTGAGCCTTGGCTAAGCCTGTGGCGCTGGACAAGTTGGGGAAAAACACTACCCTGCTGTCAGGTAGAAAGTAAATCTTTATCTTATGGGTGGCAATATCTCATTTTTAGCCCTCAAGGCTGTGCTCAGTCTGGTTCAAGTTCAGCTGTGATGGCAGAACAGATCTCACCTATCTCCTACTCCTGGCAGCTGATCCCCTCTGGCTCAGGCTAGAGGCACCCCCAGCCCAAGTGAGATCAACTCCCTAGGCTGAGAAAGATCCAGAGCATAAAAGCAAAGGGTAGGGAGTGTGGCAAATGAGGGAGGGGAGCAACAGTGGGGTTGGACATGAGAGACCAGGGAGGACACTGCACCCACCACTGACCTGAATGGTTTTGGCCTTGGCAACCAGGAAGGCATTTATGGGGAGCAGCAGCAACAAGGTCGCAATGCCAGCCAAGACAGAGGGGCCCAGCTCTCCCCAGAGGAAGACAACGGACAGGATAATTTGCAGGGGGGATGACCACAGCTGGTGAATAAAGTTGGCCATGTCCATGAACCTCTGGGCATCAGCTGACATCAGATTGACAGTCTCCCCCACCGTGGACTCCTTGCGGGTGGCTCCGGACATGGTGAGCGACTGCAAAGAGAAACCTCAGTCAGCACAGGCCAGCCTGGGAGCAGCCCTGCTGCCAGCAGCATGGCTCAGAGCAGGGAAGCAGCAGACCAGGCTGAGACCACTTCTGGGTTTGCTCCTGGTGCCTCTGTACTGGGCACCAGCGCTCTCCTCACTGTCTGCACACCTGGAGCCACTGGGTGCAAAGAAAAGCACCCTGTGCAGGAATCCTGGGTGTTGTGCACCTGCCCCAGGTGCTGCACTCTCTGAAGAGAACCCTGCCCCAGCCCCTGGTAGCTGTCAAACACATGGCTGCAGCATGCACGTCCCAGGCAGAACTAGGGCTCACAGTGTCCTCAGGGCTGGCTGGGTGTCCCCCAAGCTCCCCCTGTGCCTTCTGAGGAGGAAAGTGCACACACCCCAGGTTGATGGGGCCAGTGGATGATTTTATCCACAGCCCAGCTCGGAGGAAGCCAAAAGGCATGTTGAGAGGCCCATACAGACCTTCTTGTAGATGGCAGCAATGAGACTGGCTCGCACATTGATGCCAAGCTGGAAGCACAAGGTGAAGTGCTGCTGCAGGCAGAGGGACTGGATCACTGCTGTCAGGAAGAGCAGGATGGCATACAGATAGCCTTGCCAGGCAAAGGCATCCTTATCTGACACAAAGGCAATCAGCAGCCTGGCAGGGAAGGAAGCTCATGAGACACACAGCCTACTGAGACACACCCAAGCAGGATGCTCCCAGTGAATGCAGGGGGAGCATCCTCACAAGAGTGCTGAACAAAACCCTGCCCCAGAGAGCTGGCTCGATGGTCAGCAAGCTGGGAACCCTGCTCTGCCACAGACAGAGGGTCACTAATGGAAGAGCATCCACAGCACAGAGACCGTGCTGCTCTGCACAACAAACCAGCCCTGCTGGGCTGAGCTGCACTGACTCTGGGAGGGCCCAGAGAAGAGCCAGGACTGTCTCCAGGGAGGGAGCCGGGCTGCACAACAGGATGCAAGGGAGCAGGATAACGCACATAAGAGCTGGCAGCCAGCTCAGATCAGGTCTTTGCTAAACTGTACCCCAACACATTCTCCCATTTTTGGTGAGGGCACAAAATGCCTCCAGGGTCTGTGGCTGGGAGAGGCACACATGGAGATGGTGGGGCTGGATACAGTGCACACACTGGGAGGTGGTGGGGCTGGGTGCACAGTCAGGACAGAGACAGAGAGAAAGGACTCACTTCAGCAGCTGGGGGCTGACAAACACGAGGGCATCATGCACCACCTTGAATGCCACTGCTAGCAGGAGATTCTGATAAAAGGTCTTGCCCAAGGTTTTCATCAACCAGCCCCTGGGGTAATCCTTGGGAGGGCCTGAGTCCTTGTTGTCTCCCTTCTTCTTCTTCTTCTTCTTTGGCTGCTTCTCCTCCTAGAGGAAAGCCCACACAGAAGTGAGGGAGCTGGTTGTGCACACATCCTGCATCTGGAAGGATGCTTCAGGGCAGCACCTCACTGACCCCAGTCAGGTATCCTGAACAAAACCTTACACACTCCCGTCACACTCCCTTTCACTGATCTCTGCTTATGTCATACACAGCCAGGACTGGACCTTCTCTTTTTTACCAAAGGCAATTGTTAAAACCCAAACCAGCTTGAACCTCTCAGGCTAGAAATCAGGCAAAAATCATGAAGAATCGGAGGCCAGGGGTGGCCACAGAATGATGTTTCCTCTGACCTCCTTGCTGGAAAGTATCTGAGGTAGATAGACAGGAGGGAACTGCTTGTACTGCACATTTGAGGGTGGTTCCTGTCTTTATGTAAGGCAGAAAGAAAGAGACTTTCTTGGTCTCTCAAACTATGGGGATCTGCCAAGGACATGACAGGAAGACCCTGGCATGGTTTCCCCCGTCCTTGCCCATGGTCCTGTGGAATCGAAGAAGGGAACACCCAGCAAAGAGGGCTGCAGCAGGTGAGGTGACCTCACTCCCTGAGGCTGGGCCTGGATGTCTCAGTCCCATACAAGGTCAAGAGTGGGAATGTATTTACCAGCACCAGGATATCCTGGCTCTGGGCCTTGCTCATGCTGTTCCCATGGTCTGGGTCACCCTCCTGCCATCTCTTCTTGCGCTTCCGTTTCTCCAGTTCTGCTCTGGCCTTCTGCATCGCAGTCTTCATGTTCTTCTCAAAAGCAGTGTAAAGAACCTTTGTCTTGTCTTTATCATTCAATTCCCAGACATCCTCTATCTCCAAAGGCTTGCGATAGCCCTTGACAACCATGCTGTGGGACAGAGAAATCCAATGACACTTGTTGGAGACTCTTTGCTGCAAATGCAGAGCCTTCACACCATCCTGGCCCAGGGCTCAGGCTGCACACAACATGGTGACTCTCCCAGACAGAGCTGCAGGTTCCCCTGAGGCACTCCTGCATTTTGCCAGCCCAGCCTCCCTCAGAGCCCTGCTCACCTGGTGTACCATTCAAAGGTGATGGAGCTCAGGAAGGACGCTGTCACCTGTGGGTTCTGTGGTACAAAGCAAAGGGGGTACTGAGAGATTGCTTTTCTGGGGGATGGTTTTGACAAAAGCTTCTTTAGCACCCCCAGCCATTAAGGAGCCCCATAGGTTTCAGACCATGACAGCTCCAGCCCCAGAAACCTCAGCTCAGAGCCAGCCACAGCCCACCCTGGGCACACATGCAGACACCCCATGCTCCAGGGTCCAGCTCTTGCTGGGCCCTGTGCTGAAGCCTTCAGGTCTTCCCAAGGAACCTGCCCTGCCCCACACGATGCTCAGGATGTGGTGCACCAAACCCAGTCCCCTGTAGTCCTCACACCTTCTTCCCGATTTCCTTTGTTTCTGGGGCAACGTCTGAGAGGCCTGAGACAAGGAAGAGCAGCAGCTGTAGCCCGTAGGAGATGAAGAAAAGGATAAACCGTGGCAGGTCAGAGATTGGTTCCTGCAGAAATGGAAAGCCCAGGGTTATTGCTGGGGATTGTCCCAAGGCCCCTGGTACTCAGAAACAAGATCCATCCCCTGGCTGAGCCAAACAGAGCAGGGCAAAACTCGCTCTGAGTCCTGGATCAGCTTCCCCTCTGCCACCTCTCCCTGCTCCTTCCCGACCTCCGCCCATAGTGTTTAAGGGGAGAAATTAGTCCTGGAGAGTTTATACTTCCCCAAAGAGACAGGATGAATTCAAACAGCAATTCCTTCCCAGGTCTTTTGTGGTTCCCCAAGGTCCCCAGGGCAGCTGGGACATAACACAGAATGCTTGTCAAGAGAAGAGCATGAAGAAGCTTTCTTTGGGAGCAGAGCAAGACTGCGTTGAAGCACAGAGCTTCCTGTGAAACCCAACCTGCAGGGCTTTCCGGACAAGCGACTGGAATGGCAGAATCCCACAGAGAAGGGAGAGTGTCCAGAAGCAGAAAAGCACCCCCGAATCTCTGCGCAAGCAGGAGCGCCGTGCATCCTGCACCAGCAGGACCATCATCTGGGGAAAGAAAAATCAGAGCTGCAGGACTAAATCTGGCTCTAAAAGTGCCTTTGGAGCATGTGTCCTGGGATGCAGCACACATGGTCTGCTGGGATTCACTGCCTTGAATACCCTGAACACACCACCAACCCTTCATAAGCTTCAGAATTAATTATAGAGGGCAAAGGTTTACTTCAGGAAGACATAAGATCAGGTTTGAATACACCCTGACATTACAGCAGGGCACTATTACTCTTTCTAGCTGTTCTCTCTCCAGATTCTCAGACATGTCAAGCCATGAAGTGTCACACCCTGTCTCCAGACCTTGCCTCCAGACCTGGAACTGAACCCAGATCACATTCCAGCTGTGCAGCCTCTCTGAGGAGTCCCTTGCCTTATCTCACATGGACTGTGCATGTGAAATTAAATGACATGGCAAAATAAGAAGGAAAGCAAATGAAGGTCTATTTCGCTGTTAAGTGTAGCTCCTGAGCATTTGTTCAGACTGTTAGAATACTCCATGTCTCACACAAGATGTCTGTAACTGCTATGCACATATTCCATCAAGCCAACAGCCACTAGATCCTCTTTAGCCAGCTTTCTCCTGTGCCTCAGCACCCTGTGGTACTTCCCAGCTCTCTGCCCAAAACTGAGCAGCAATATAAAGGAAGCTGTGAGACATCAGAGCAGCAAGCCATGGCCTGATGTTCACACTGCAAAATCAGTCCTGTAAGCACACTGCTCCTAGGAAAGTTCTGTCAGGGACTCAGCTACACTTGCATAGAATCATCCCATTTTTAAGGATAATAGCAGTGAGCACTGTACAGCCAGGCACCTGCCCGCAACGTATCACCCTCACGCACCACCCACGCAGGTTTGGGGCTAGTCCCACCCAATTTCCAGGCTGCCCCTGCCCCGTGGACACAGCTTCCCTCTGATCTCTGTGCTAGAGAAGCCTCGTTCTGCTCGGTGCTGCAGTGTGCCAGCAGGCTCAGGCTGAGCCCTTACCCAGGTGGCGATGTACAGGCTGGGGTTGGTGTACTGCACGGCTGGCACAGCGCCCTGCTCCGCGTCCACAAACGCCAGCGCCAGCCCCGCCACCGCCGTCAGCACCAGCAGGGCAGCCAGCACCTGTGGAGAGAGGGACAGCCCACTGGGGACACTGGAACAACTGGGAGACAGCAGAGTTCAGCATAAAATACATCCTTACAGCCTTTTCAACCCACACTTGGCCTGAGGCAGCTTTCAACCCTGTGAATGTGCCACAGCTCCACAGGAGCACTGCCGTCATTTTCAGTTTGGAAGATGGCTGCCCACAAGAGGAGAGGCCCCAGTAGACACTCTGCTCTCCCTCCCAGTGCATCCCTCCCTGTTATGCCCTCTGTCCCAGATATGCCTCCTGCTGGACTCCCCTTTACATTTCTGTCCTGGATGGTTCCCTAACCCATTCCTCCTTCCCTCCCACACTTGACTGTAGCACAGAGCCTTTCCACTCATACCACCAACACGTCAGGCTGCTCCAGCCTGTCATCTGTGCCCCCTCAGCTCCACTCTACCTGTTTGATGATGTAGAGTTTGGTCACAGAGGATTTCTTGGCTCTGGATTTGCACATGGGCAGGAGCTGCCATGGGGCCAAAATCCAGAAGAAGCCAAGGGGGATCCAGACCAGCACAGTCTGCTGGAAGCACACTGGCAGGTCGGCATCCGGACGAGCAAGGTAGGAATCATTCTGGGGGCAACAAGGACAGAACACCAGGTCACATGCAATTGCTTGGCTCTCACTCGGCACACAGGACAAGGGCAAACACTCCTACAGGTCCTGCCCACCCAGCTCCACACCATTGCATCCCCCCTTCAACACCCACCCTCCTGGCTGAGCATTTCAGCACTCGGCCAGGGTCCGAGCGATAGCCCCATCCCCATCTCTCTGCCTGAATGAGGGATGGCCACCCCTTGCTGGAGCCAAGCCAGCAGAAGGAGCTGAAGCCAAATCACTCTCCAGAAGTCCGTACAGGCTGTCCTGTGTTCCCAGGAAGGCTAAAACAGGACAGAGCTCAGTCAGAGAGGCGTCATTGCCTCACTGTCTGGTGAGCACTGTGCAGGCAGTGCACAGCACTCAGTGCCACGGCACTCCTGGATAAACCCCAGACCCTCTGCCAACCATTGGCACTTGGGTCTCCCTGGCAGGACAGGCTGTGAGCCCTGGAATCCACTGCCCTCCCCCCAGAGGGGTGTCCCACCCTGAGAACAGGCACAGGGGGTGATGCAGTCACTCACCCAGAAGACGGAGCCGCAGAACTCCTCCAGGGCTGCTGACATAGCTCAGGGAAGGAGAAAGGGCAGCTCCTTCCTCTCGCTCTGCCCAACTGAGAGCCCTGGGCAGATGCTTGGGATAAAAGTCCCCCCACACCCTCAAGCGGTCTTGGGACAAAAAACTCTGATGACCCGCAGTTAATAAATAACTTGGTGCTATTGCACAACCCTACAAACCAAAGCAGTGACCAAAAGGGCTCGGGAAGCTGCACAGGCTCAGGAGAAGGCAAGAGAGGAAGACCCAAGGAAGAGACCAAAGGGGAGATACAGGGAAGTCACAGAGTCACTGCAGGACACCACAGCCATTGCTCAGAAACCATAGCCTTGATCAGTGGACACCAACAGACAAAAACTTGTCTGGACCGGCTAAAGACATTACTTTGATGCAACAGACCTCTCTGGTGAGAAGCCTGCTGAATGCCAACACAAAGTCCAGCAAAGGCTGGTCCCACAGTGGCTGGTGACACCTGGCAAGGGGGCCTGGGACACTGCCCCTGGCCTGGGAATCTACAGTGTCCAGCTGAGCTCACCACATGCCGCACTGGTCTTTCTGAGCCTCCAGGGTCCAGATTCCTTTTACTAATTTCCAGTCTGTAGAGCCTGAATTTTCCAAATTCCTTCTTTTGCTTCTTTCTTTCCCACATTTCCATGTTGTCTGTGTGTTATGGCAGTTGGCTGACCACAAAACCCCAAAGAGACTTGGAATCCTCATGCTAAGGTAACCCCCAACATCTGAGACAGAAAGAGGATGACAGCCAAGGAGACTGATTGCCACTGAACCCTTGATGCTTAGGAAGGCCTAGGTGTGACAGGAACACATGGGGACAGTGCTACTAAGGCTAGAACTGGATTTGCTTTATCATGTGTGCTCTTGAGGAACAGCAGATAAAAGAGGACAGTGGAGTGACTGCAATTATTGTGCTGTCTCATTGTACACGGAGTTACAAGATAACTCAGAAGTCAAGGGTGACACAATGAGTAATTCCTCAGGAACCATCAATACCAAAGAAAGGCTCAATGTCCAACTCAGTGGTTAATTATTAGCAATTTCTCTGATTAAATCCACGTGTTTTTGTAAATAAAACTATCCCTCGTGCTGCATCCTCCGGGCCAGAACCAATACACTGCTCATGAGAGCTGTAAACTGATGCAATGAGTAAGAAGTGAATGGAGCAGTCACTCAGCCCTTCTCCATCTGGACTGCTGATGTGATTCTTCTTTGTGGCACTGGCACAGGTGTCCTCTGGCCTTGCTCAAAACCACTTGGAGCACTGCTGCCAAGGGGCACACTTGTTTATGACACCTCCCTACATAATGCCCCATCCCACTGCTTATCTCAGTTTTTAGTACAGGTCACATCTCATCCCCACCCTGGCTTTGGTCTCTCAGAGCTGAAGTGTTGCCCTCAGCACAGGATTCCACTCTCTCTGATGCTCAAAGCAAGCATAACCCACTTTCTCTACCCTCACAGCTGGGGCATGCTCCTCCTAAAAACCCACAAAGCTTTACTGTCCTTCAGCTCCTTCCATAAACCTTCCTGCACTGAAATACCCAGAAAACATTCACTGGGACCAAGGTAATCTAAGTGGCACCTCTTTGTCCAGCAATACCATCGTCTCCCTGTGCTCTCCTCTCTTTATCCATCTGTTATACAGCATGTTACAGCTTTTCAAAACTAGGTATTGATTCATGCCTGTCTCACACAGGGTCTGATCCAGAGGTCTCTGCCAGGCAATCAGCCAAATTGCTCCAGCCCTCACTGCTCATATCTTCTCTGAAGAGTTTCTCTACCTTGTCGAGTTCTTACCCCATGTTCAAAAACATGAGGCAGCTTGGTCAGCAGAATGTTCTCACCCTAATTATCATGATTATGATACTGGTAGCCCAATCTTAACAGAGCTACCACTATCATAATCACGACCATGACTCATAAAATCTCAACGTAAGTCATGAACTCTTACAAACTCTCATAAACTCTCTACTGACCATAATCATAAATTTAAACATTCTTTCCAAGTTTGGATTCTTCCCACAGCACGCACATTTGTCAGTGCTGATGCAGGCTCTGACACCAGCACTATGCAGTCACTCCCTTCCCAGCTCCTCTGTTAAGATCTTAAGTTCCCAAGGTATTTTTGGAGACACCAATACCTCTGATGGATTCATGTGAAAAAGTGGATGTACCCTTTAAACTGAAAAGATGTAGTCTTGATGATAGGTTTTCAATAATGTGATTGAATTTAAGGTGACAAAGGTGCTGCCACCTTGTCAAGTTATCACATTTTTTCCATATTCTCACAGGCTATTGCCAAGATGGGAAATCTGTACCCAGCTTTTGTGTCCTGAGGTCTACTACCTTGGCTGTCAGAGGGATTCTCTTCAGCTTTGTGATCTTTTACAGAAGAGCAGGCAGCATGGATAAAGGTGCTTTACTTCTAGGACTCTACACTTCTAATGCACTCTCTGATACCATTTAAATCTTTCACCAGGTATTTTACAGACTAGCTGAGTCTGAGGCTTCAATCCTGACTAGGCAGCAATGATCCAACAGGCACACTCCCCAAACACTGTCTGGAAAACAAGCAGTTTATGCTTTATGTTGGGACAAGGACCTGGAAACTCCCTTAGAAAAAGCAACTTGTCCTCCCAATCTCATACACCAACCCCACCTCAAGCACTGAGGAGCCACAGCCCAGGATGTCTCACAGTTCCTCACCCCATCAGCCAGGTGCTTCTCACCACTTACACCTGCTGCATTGCTAATCCCCACCCATGGGCTGGCTGACCACAGCTGGCCTTGTTTCCCAGCTGTGGCCACGGTGTTTCCCACCCTGGCCTTCTGGATGTGACTGTGTTCTCTGGCACAGCAGGGTCCTAATTCAGGCTGTGCAACCTGGATCATGGTCTTACCTGAACACACAAACAAACTCTAGAAAAGCACAGCAAGAGGGGGGCAGCTGCAGTGTTTATTTAACGATCACATGCAGTGCTATACAATTCAGTCCCCCTACTTGCTCACCTCCCTTCCTCCCAAATGCTGCCCAACAGCTGCTGCTGCTGCAACATCTGGGAATGAGTCCTTTTATTTAAAATGGCCAACATAAGTTTCCAGGCCAGGGACTTGAGGGGAAGGCAAGGGAAGAGGTGTCAGGCTCCATCACCTAGTGCACATCCTCTGCAGCCTGAGGAGGGAAGCAGTGCCCATCAGTCCGTGTGCCAGGCACGCCCTGGAGTCTCTGTGCTCTTGGCCCTCCACTACAGAATGTTCTTGGCAATGGCGTTCAGGGTCCTCACTTTGGCCACGTCTGCCACCTTTATGGAGTACTCGGGGGCAGAGAACGACGCTCCCATGGCAACGTTCGGGTTTCTGTCAGGAAAACCAGTGATTAGTGGGACATGCTGGGGACACAGAGGAGTAACATCCACCAAGAGAAACACCCCCAGATTTCCCCTAGCATCAGCACTGGCCAAAGATGGTGCCACCCAAACCTAAGTTGGGACAGTAATAGAATATAGCCCATTCCTCACTCATTTTTCAGAGGCACATCCCACTGGCTTGCCAAATCCTACATGTTTATGTTAAAAGTCTAAGGCAACTAAACCACAACCCACCTTCCCAAGTGCCTTCAGAACTCCTAGGGTGGCACTAGCAAGAGAAATGCCCCAAGGATCTGGTTCTGCATGGAACTCACGTCCATGTGAGGAGCACTGCTGGATTCATACACTGCAGAATATCAGGCACCATGATCCCAAACAGAAAAGCACAACTAGCACTCAGGAAGCTGTTTGAAATTAATGCCAGTTCTACAAACCCATGCTCACATTCATTAGCCTTTCCCTCACAGAGTTCGGTGAACATAAACACAAATAATCAGTTACCTGAACTTCATCCCTGAGTCCCGAGCTGAGCGAGCAGAGCAGTGAAACTCGGAAGCAGTGGAGCCTTCCAGAATCCTCTGCAGGTTGCGCTCCGTGATGCCACCTCCTGGTGGGAACAAGCCCGATGTCACATACCGAGCAGTGATACTATTCCAGACCTGCCACCACCCCGGGACCTCACCACTAAGGGACAGGAGCCACATACACTGAAGGGGAAAAACAGCTCTTGGGACAACAGAGACACGGGCAAGTGAAAAGGGACGGGAGAAGCCTTGGCTATGCCCTCCCACAGATCCAGAGCTGTCCCCAAACCCTGCAGGGAGCAATAGAGCAGGGCTCTGCCCTCCCCAACAGGCTGCATGGCCTTTACTCACTCCAGGACAGGAGCTGCTCCTCCTGGGCAGCTGGCTCAGAAAGCCAGATCAGGAAGTGGATTCCAGGGCAAGGAATCCAGGGCAAGGAGGCTAGCAGGGAAAGGCTAAGGATTGCAGGACCTGGTACAGATGACAAACATTACCTGGCATCACCACAATTCTGCCCTTTGCCTGAAAGAAGAGTAACATACATGTCAGGGATATTACTGAGGACCACATCCACACGTGCGTTTGTGAGGCAGCAAAGAAACCTCACATGCAGCACTTTCCATAAGCTCATCGATGTCACTATGGTCTACTGTTTATGTGCTCTTACCCATCTTTTTTGTACTATTCATGTTTTAAAATGAAAAGTGGAGAAGAACTTGCAGTTACAGCTAAGACAACCTGGCACCATTCCCTCCTACCTCTCCATCCCACCTAGCTACCTCACCTGTTGCACTTTCCTAAAAGGAGCAGCAAGACACTCAGCAGGGACCTCACTCTGCTGTTTGTGTGGCCTCATCATGCCAGCTGTTTAAACCAACTCCCACCACCCTCCCCAAATCTGCAAGCAAGAACCCAACCAGTTTTTGCTGTGGGAGACTTTGGGGTCCAGCCTAAATGGACTTGGGGAAACAGATTAAAGCCAAGCAAGGGAGGGAAGGCAAGCAGTCCTTGAGAGGATTCCCTCCCAGAAATGAGGGATACCATAAAGCAGCTGCGTGCAGGCAGTGCCAGGGAACAGCCACAGTAACCCAGCAGAGCACAGCA